CAAAGCCAGGGTGAAATGCGGCTCAGCCTGAGCGTTAGCGGCTGAGGCATCTTTATTCAAGAGAGATGCAGTGCACAGCAACGTGCCGGCAGGACTGCCCGCTCCTTGCAGTGACGGAGTGTAGTTACTAGGAGGAGCTGCAAGCTGCTTGCCTGGGAGATGCTTTTTGTTGTGTTGCTGCGTGAGATGTGCCATTACCCTGCAGGTTTTGCTTTGCATTTTCTGCTAGACAAAGCACTAGTGATCCTTCATGAAACGTATTTACGAATTGCCTGTTCTCATGTTGGCAGCCTCCTGCTGGTTCACCTAAAGGCTTTGCCTTCTAGTTAGTGACCACTAGATTGGTGCAAAAAGATTCTTGTGAGTATTTTAAAGGCATTTGGGAACAGACCAGCTCAAGGTCTTTGCCAATGGCACAAAGCTATGTTACTTTGCCGAAATCCAGACATTGATTGGAACACTCCTCAGTTCCCATTAGCATTACCGAGACAGTAATTCAGTCCTTCTACAGACAAGAGCAGGGAGACACCCTAGAACTACAGTAGGTTTTATGGGAAACGTCAGGGACCTACGTCTGCAAGGTCCATCAATGAGAATCATGCTTCTGAGAACCATACATAGTTAGATCTCACCTGCATCTCTTTATTAGGTTCCAAAGTGCCAGGCAGAGAGAACAACAGGCATGGCTATAATCTTGCCTTTAATGCGGGCTTCAGCTTTCATGTTTCCTTTACTTCTGAAAATGTCAGTATCTATTAATAAAAGTGCTATGTTTAAGTTTATTTTTACACCTCAACAGAGCAAAGAAACTCTGGTGATGCTGATACAGAACCATGCACTGCAGCTCACTCCTGCATAAAAGGAGTAATAGTTTTGACTAGGTATAATCAAATGAACAATAAACAGCCGTAGAAAAGGAAGCAAAAATTATGAATTTATTGCTGTATTTCTCAGCAATATATAGGCCAGGGCACCCAAAGAAGTAATTTAATATTTTAAAAAAATTTTTGTTAATATATATGATCTGTGCAAACCCTACAGCTATTCTGGATGGCCATGCCCACAGTTATGAGCAGAGGTTCTGATGAAGCAGCAGTCTTCCCTTGCTTGCTGGATGGTGTGCCAGGCAATTCAAACTTGCACAGGAAACCAGGGGCTGGGGCTGCATCTGCTGCTCTACATTATGGTTCTCAGCAGTACTACGTATGTCTGTGGTTCATGTTTACGTTCAAAGGATCTGGTAACAACAGAAATCACTGTTCCTTATGCTCAGCATCTTGTAAGTCTGAGAGAAAGACTTTGCAAATCCTTCCTGGACAACCTCCAAAGCTGGATCCTTCGAAGTCCAGACTTCAGTTAGTTCAGTTAGGCTGAAAACCATAATCCTCGGAGGAACTGCTGGCCTGGTGACCAGTGACAGGCCTGTCAGTCCTGAGGAGTGCTTGAGCATGCTTGGCAGTTTCCCTTATAGGCCAAGCTTGCCTGGAGTTCCTTCCCTTCGGGTCAGTTCCTTGTATACCTTACCAGGTAGCCTTTGAGAAAAAGTTGGCAGGATGGAAAGTCTTTGATCTTTGGCGGGGTTTGTGAGAGTCAAAGAACTAACTGCAATATAACTGGCTTAGAAGAATGAACACTACCTAGGATTATGAGCTTTTACCTCAGGGTCAATATGACCTGAAGACTCAAGCCAGCTTCTACCAGCTGAGAACATCCCATAAAGACAGTAAAATAAGAGGAGCTTTGACTTGAGGAAACAGACATATAACCACAACCAGAACAACAAGTGGCCAGAATCCAGTACAAAACCACTCCACCCACACAGGACATTAGTTCAGAGCAATGAAGATTAACATACCACTGACCATATGTCTTCACTACCTGCATGAGCCAAGTACCTACTGATGCTGCATGGGACAGACACACACTGATCATGCAACCAATAGTAACTGATTTGCCTGCTCTTTAACACAACTGCACTGAACATGCACCAGCCCTGCTTTCCCCTCTACCAGGGTCCTCTGGGCATGAGGCTGGGGCTCCACTGCACACACAGCTAACATGAAAGAGTAAATTCCCTTAGCAGTGCTATACCGAGTGTCCTTGCCTCCCTTCTCTGCTGATGAAGAACTGACTTCTACAGGTTCTTGGTTATCAGGTTTTTGTTTGGGTTTTTTTCCCTCTGGAGTAGAGTACAATAGCGTTTTTCAGGAGTCTGATTTAGGGTGACTAAGGGAGGCTTAGAAGGGAGACTTCTCCTCACAGTTCTTGTGCCCTCTGGCCTTTTCTCTCTAGTGCCCAGTCAGACTGGGCTTTATCCTATTGGGTATTCAGTTTCAGGTGATTCCCATGTGGGCCAAGAGGCTCTTCTTCCTGCTGGCTTCTGTGGTTTCTGGTTGACTACAGAGCTCTGAAGCTCTGGGAGCATTCTTCTCTGTGGCCTGGCTGTGAGGATTAGCTCATGATCAGGACCTGTATAAGTAAGGAAAGTAAAGCTATTTTGTCCACAGTAACGTGGGTTTGCTTTTTTCCCCTAAATAAATTAGGCTTGTGTCTTGCCTTCTACCTCAGTGTTCTAGGGACAGGCCTCAATCCCAATTTACCTTTCTTTTGCTTTCTACAAATCCACTTCTTCTCTCTCCCTCACCTTTACCCTAAAAGGCAGCCTGTGTCAATCTGCTGACCCTACAATGACATTGTCTCTGATAGTCTAATATTTCTATCTCCTGACATTCTGTCATTCCATTGATCTGAAGTGCTTTTTAGTGGACTGATGAAGTTCTGCATTTTCCTGGACTTTGAGTTATTGCCTGAGCAAGAATAAACCAATAATCATTTCAAGCAAATAATTTAAAAGGAAAGGGAGTTGCCATATGCAAAGAGGTGCATGACTGTTAAAGAAGCTACAACTCTGTCTAGTCAGTTCAAGGTATCAGCATCCTATTCTCAATTTCTTAAGCAAAAAGGAACAGAAATGAATGTGAAGAGTTCACCTTAAAAGTAGATTTATCTGTTCTTTGGAAGATGGAACATAACTTGTAAAAGAAACACTCCAGGAGATTGGGACTAATTTGATATCCAGTTTTTCAGTAATTATCTGGTAAATGATTCTGTGGAAGATGAATGTTGAAAGAAGAGCCATAGGAAAAGCATTAGCTTCTGATTTTTTAGGAAGATGGAAAGGTAATAGAAGAGGAAGGACCAGGAACAGGAGGAAAAGCAAGAGGCACAGCATGATCAAATAACAAACCTTTCAGGGGTGTATGGAATGTCATTTACACATCTCATTTTAAGGAAAGCTGGTCAGTGAGAAATCCACAGAAAAGTGAGCCCCCAGGTGTGTCCATGCCTTAGGGAAACAGGATCAGCTGACAACCAGTTTGATTATGTATGAGAGGAGCAACTTCTTTTGATTCATCCCTCTTGTATGTATGCAATGAGAGTTTATTAATGATCAGAGAACCGGTTCTTCCATTATTATATAGACATCGTGACTGTTCGATCAACCCCTGCTCAGGATCTGGCTAACACAGCTCATGCTAAAGCCCGTGGATTATTGCCCCATGTTCCAATTTATCTGATCTGTCTGTGTGGTCCCAGTGGGTGAGGGAGGGAGCTGGAGGAGCGGGGAGCTGAGGGCCCCTTGCTGAGCAGACTGCGTGTCGGAGGCTCGTTGCTGGGGTCTGGCAGGCGTGTGCACACGCGTGCGTGCAGGAGTGCCTCAGCTCTGTGTCTGTGAGCCAGGGGTCTGCACCAGGGCCTCACACACCCGGGTGCCAGTGTGAGGATATTCAGGATGCAGGGCCAGCTGCTGGACTGGATGGCTCTGTAAGGCCAGCCACGAGGGCAGGAGGTCCACGCCGTGGCTGCGTGCGTGTTTCCTGCTAACAGACCTTTATCCTGAGGGATCCAGGATGAAGGTCTCTAGGGCCATCTGTGTTTGCATGACTGCCTCTGTCGGGATTGATTTGTGTGGCTGGCTGGCTGCACTGTGGATGGGTTTGTCTGCCTGTTGGGAGGACACATGCAGCCTTGCTAGTGGGTGGACCTAGGGAAAGGGAGTTGCAGCAGCCTTGCCACTATTTGGCTACCTGATTTCTCAGGTCTTAACAGGTACCTGTCTAAGTACCCAGATGGATCTCTGTATTTAATTTTGCACTGTGATTCCAACTATATGAATATATTTTCATGTCTTGTCTTAAGTGCACGAGATAGTTTGAGACTATGTTTCTTTTATGGTTGAAGTAATGGAAATTCTTTAACCTCAGGAGACAGATTAGAGGGTGGAATTAATTAGATGGAGAATGAGGAACAGAATACCACTTAAACAGGATGCTTCAGAAGGGAACAAACCAGTGATATATGTTTTTACTTATATTAAGGTTTTACAACAGGCTTTCATACAAAGCTCTTCCCAAAACAAGATCATGCATGCTTGTTCTGACAGGTGGAGAAGGAAGAAAAGTAATGCATATGTATGGTATTTGCTCTTTTTCCAAAATGAAAAATTTGAGTACTGGAAAGGAAAGGAAATAAAAAAGGAAGGGAAGGGAAGGGAAGGGAAGGGAAGGGAAGGGAAGGGAAAAAAAGAAAAGAAAAGAAAAGAAAAGAAAAGAAAGAAAAGAAAAGAAAAGAAAAGAAAAGAAAAGAAAAGAAAAGAAAAGAAAAGAAAAGAAAAAAAAAAGCATTACCTTGTTTCACCAAACATTTTCTGTTTTATTCAGGAAACAAAATATCAAAAGGTAAAAGGCAATTGTTATATATGACAATATCCTGTCTGATAAGACAAATTTCTGCCTGAGTCAGTTTGAAACTTTCTGTATGTTTTCAACAGATATACTTCAAAGTGTTTGCTTGAAATCTCTTGCAGGAAGGAACTTGGTTTTCAGCATAGGTTTTGCTGTTACAGAGATCTCTGCTATTGGCTTAAAAAACCCCAAACATGTGAAACAGACCAATATAGGTCCCTTGTAGGGGCATACTCACTAGCTACTGAGGCAGAAATGAGGATGTGGACAGCTTGGTGTGTGGCCATGTACTTCTTCGGAGCAAGTAAGGCATCAGTAGAACTATGATACCTGCTCTGCTGCTGGAAGAATGTAGTTAACTCAACTGTTTGGTTTTTTTGGTTTTTTTTTTTTTTTTTTTGGTCGTTGTTTTTGTTTGTTTGTTTGTTTTTTTAATTTGCTTTGTCTTACAGGAGCTAAAATCACCCAAACTTCAAGTCTCGTGGTGAAAGAAGATGAGAATGCTACTCTGACATGCAGTCAAAATGATAATCACAATTCTATGTACTGGTATCTGCAGCAGCCAGGGAAGGGGCTGCAACTGATCTATTATTCCTTTGGTGCAAATCAGGAGCAAGTGGGTGACATTCACTTTGGATACAAAGCTAAGCGGTCAAAACTGGAAGATTTCTCTTTGGATATTTCGCCTGTGAAGATGAACCATTCAGCTGTCTATTTCTGTGCAAGCAGTGTGGACACAACACTTCAAAGTCACTTGCTTTCTTTACATAAACGCTCCTTTGCAGCACCTCCCCTCAGAAGGGTGTCGCTCTCAGCACAGGAGAAGGGTATGTAGGGCAATGGCCTGTTCACAAACCAGATGTTGCCTCGTTGGAACAAGAGAGGCACAATACGTCTTTGAAATGCAGGTTAATTGCTGAACTCCTCTTTCCTGGTCAGCCGTTTATTCTCTATCTCATCAGAATAACCAATAAAGATTGTTAACCAAATGCAGATATAAAATAAAGAAAATCGAAACTGCAATCTACACAGGCACAAATTATTGCTCCCTACTCCATTTTCTTACCTGACACAGAAGAGTTACTTGAAATACCCACACGTGTAAGCCTACCTCAGAGATAGTGACTTGTATGTGCACTCTCATTCCTCTCTGAATATTAATCAAGCAATGAAAGCCACAGTGCTTTTCACTGCACTTGGAGAGATTACCCTAATAACCAGAAATCTGTAGAAATAAGATTGTCAACAGCAACGAGAAGCATGAACAGAAGATGATGTAAGTATTTTCCCAAAGCAAGAAAGCACTAGGCAAAGTGCTAGTGATGTTTAAAAGTCACTTGCATAATTTGCTAGAATGTGTTTCCAGACAGAGAGGTTTAGAAAGGTTCAAAGAAAGGATGTAGAATGGAAAGATCCCATAATTAGGCACGGCATCCACATTCTGAGAGGGTTTATATCTGTCCAGGTTCGGCTAGGGTGTTTGGTTCTTCACCTGCCGTCGGTCAGGAGCCGGGCCGGCGGGGGGTTATGCCCGGAGCAGGACGAGACCCCTGACCCACTCCCCAGAGATGGCAAACATCATCACAGGGACCACTCTCGGGATGTAGGGATTAACACAGGACCACCGTGCAGGATTAACACAGGGCCATCGTGCAGGCAAATCCATTAACGCTGAGGATAGGCACTGTTTAATACCAAAAGAGGAAAATAAAAT